AAAAAGTTAAAAAAAAAAATCCCTTGCGATTTTAGTGCATTCAGCCGTAGAGGTGACAAGAGGACCATCCTGATTATGGGGATGGGCCAAAGCCTCAATGACTGTTCTACCCGACCGGGCTCTGGCCACTGCAAAAAACCTTGCATCCATGGATCCTTCTGTTAGATGTTTCCCAATTTTGCCCCTAATCCGCATACCATGCCACCGATATTCCATACGAGATAGTAATTGAGCTTCCAAATCTTGAATGTCCAGTTCCATAGCATCATTCATTGCTGCATCAATATCATCGAATTCTGATTGATGAAATTGTTGAATACGCTGATACAATCTAATTTCTGAAGAATGTCGTTCAACAGCTAATAACTTGGAGTATTCATTGCATTTACGACCCAGAAAACTAAGCCGTTGTTGAACCACATGATGTTGTCTGAAAAAAGGATCCTCTGTTCCCTCCAAAAGGACCACACGTCCTTAATAAAGGTTCTGAAGGATTCTATTTTAAGGTGAGCAGTATTAAGTTTATAATAACCCCTACCTTGATTTGACTTCTTTCCAAATGAAAGAATCACCATACACATCGCATGATCAAGACCCAAATGAGGGCTCTTAGGAAATATCTCAGCTACCTTTAGTGCCCCTACCAATTCCTCTGAGAGTAAAATCAGATCTATGCGGGACTTGGTGGCCTGTCTGACTTGATTTTTCCTAAAACAGCTGTACGTACGCTGGGATGGATTCATTCTTCTAAAGGAGTCAAAAATATTTAATGATTGAATTAGGTTAGTCATCAGAATCTCATCAGATTCTACATAACCTGGACAAGTAGTAGGAATATTCCATCGATCCAGAGAGAGCTGCGTTGAAATCACCGGCTATAATTACCGGGATTCCTACTGGAAGGATGGGGGAGAGGGATTCAAAAAAACGTTGTCTTTCCTCTATATCATTGGGGCTATAGACACAAAGAATACTGACTATTTCAAGTTCCAACATTGCCAATATAAACACCCACATCCCATCTACTTTATCGGCTTCCCAATAAACAGGCTCTACCTTGGATTCTGGGGGGATCCAAATTGCCACTCCCGCACTCCCAGGGCGAGGGGCATGCGCTCTGAATGAAGTGTGAGACCATATTTCCTCGTGACAATGGTTATGAAGGTCCGAGTCTGTGAGATGAGTTTCTTGTATACATATCACATCACGCCACTCCTTCCCACCAACTCCCTTAACTGGTCGAAGATAGTTTTTTTCTTTTCGAACTTAGCCGAAGCAAGACCATTAACATTCATTGATCTGAGGTCTAGATCTGCATTTCTTCTTAATACCTTCCAAGATTTGTCTTTATTGTATAATGGGTTAATTATCTTAAAGTTCTCCATATAATCATAATCAAAAGCACTATGCAGAATCTAGGACTGGGAGAGTGAGAATTTAGGACCATCTCTGCCATTGGCCAGAATCCAACAGACCTCCCTTAACAAGGGTCTTATGTCCCAACAATCTAACCAAAAGAGTGCCTACGTCTGTTTCTGACCAGAAATTGTTTGCCTTGACTTTGAGGAGTTGTAGCTCACTCAGGGATTCCTGATTGAACCATCTTAGTTATGAGTTCTTGCTCACATCAAATTCCAAATATATATCCCAGTCAGCCATTCTCTGATCGCCTTCAGTGACGGATAGAATTGTCACTAACCCATAGAAATTTGCCTTAACGAAATCCACCACTTCCTCCTGTAAACAAGGTTGTCCAGATACTAGAGCAGAGGCAGGGGAGGGGGAGAAGAGAGGCGATGAGGTACCCAGGACAGTTACTTCACCGTAGGCTGCTCCAGGAAGTTCGGATAACCCTGCCTCCCATGATCCCCCTTGAAATCTGACTGGAAGTATAACTATTCCTACTTTCATCGGAGACAAAACCCCTTGCCCCTTAGCCAAACGATGCTTCAGCCTTTGCCGCTTGCTTGTGAGCTCAGAAGCAATACCAAGTGCGGGAGTACGGGAGGGGTTTATTAAACCATCCTCATGCAAGCTGGCACTGAAAGTCAAGTCTGAAGTGAGATCCACTTCTTGGGATGACTTATCCAACAATTCTCGTTTGTCGTGAAATTCTCGGGACTCATGAAACTGTAGGTGAGCAGAAGAACCCGGATCCCACTCAATTAGACCCTGACTATGGCTACGGGAGGCAGGAACTTGCCTCTTCTGGGGAAGCTGCAAAAATTTTGGTTCTCCTGTAAGTTCAGAAATAATAAGCTTTAATCCTTGACCTATGTCTACCTCCGATCCTACAGATGGCATATTTTGATGCATGACATCCACTTTCTTGGACTGCAAGGCTGGACCCGACGATGAGGTTGAAGGACTACCCAACAACTGGTGCACACTTAGACCATCTGGATTATCCGGTCCCGGTCCTTTGTCACTGCCTTCCCCATCATCAGAATCGGACACCTGATGCCCCTGCCCAAGTTCTGGACTTATCGTCTCACTGGAATCGATGGAAGATAAATTGGTAAATTGGAGCATACTTCCCTTTCCACCGACTCCTCCATCCATGGGGCTGAACTTGTTATCGATCAGGGGAACAGCGTCATTCTCTGTGGTTGAATCTGAGCTGGCCTCCTGACTTTGTCCGCTACTAATTACCTCTTCAGCAGCCACCTCCAACAGAGGCTGAAATCTGTTTTGCAAACTAAGTAGCTGATTGGAACCCTTTTGAAGCCAGAGATTAAGCCTTGCAAAGACAATAAATAATAATTTAGCACTAATTTCATCCCAGGTGACATCCTTTGGGGGACCTTGCACTAGGAAAACCTCAAGGCTTTTACTACTACCCAACATGAGGACCAGATCTTGCAGGTATTGAGGCCAAACGGGCTGTAACCAGCTAGATGGAAATGTCAAATATGGCGTCCATCCTCAATGTTTCACAACCGGAAGTGCAATACAAGTCGCGGCTGATTTCAACAGGCAGGAGAGGGAGTTGAACCTGATTTGAATCGGGGTGAGGGGGAGTCGGGGCTTAGTTTTAACAACAGGTAAGAGGGGGAGGGGATGGCCATATTAAGGGATGACAAGTCAACGGTGTCAACCCTCAAGCCATGGGCCTTTTTCCATTTATAACTCTGTAATAAGATATAGGGGAAACTACACGGGAGTTGCAAAAATGAGTTATAATTGCACTACGGGCCAAGATACAGTTTCAAATTGCAGTTCGGGCAATGTATACAACCCTTTCTGGCCAGGTAGGGTGCCGAAAGTGCAATTGCAAACTGCATCTTGCCCCATAGTGCAATTATAACTCATTTTCGTGATTCTACTGAGGTTACCTACGCAGAGTCACAAAAATGAGTTATAATTGCACTATGGGCCAAGATACAGTTTCAAATTGTAGTTCAGGCAATGTATACAACCCAGCTTTCTGGCCAGGTATGGTGCCGAAGTGCAGTTGCAAACTGTATCTTGCCCCATAGTGCTTATAACTCGTTTTCGTGACTCTACTGAAGTTACCCCTAAGATATAATAATAACGATTAATAAAATAATAATAATGGAGGTAATGAAAGCCTTGCTACTTCAGGACTCAACATGAGATAAGCGGCAAGAGTTCTATGTGGGGGAAGACAGTAGGGCGTCCCTTCGTGATTTAGGGTGCTCCACTACTTACAAGTTACCACATGCACAAAAGACAAAGGATAAAATGGTGGGCGCATCTACCCATGTTCTACTGGAAGACTCATTCTCAAGGCCCTTATTCAAATTATTTCATGTGCTCTGATAACAGCTGTTCTTCCTAATTGCGAACTTCAGGTCACGAAAACTTGGGCATACTCACGCTAGGACTTTCTTGGACGCATCTGATCGCAATTGTGTCCTGTCCAGGATGTACCTGATCTCAATTACGTCCAGAGATCACTCCAAAAACTCCCTAGTGTGTGTATCCCCTGATTGTGCTCTAATAACAGCATTGGAATGTCTGCAGCACTTCGACATCATGCACACTCCACACAACGAGGCTCCAATTGAATATAAGCAAAATCCTGACAAAACGAGAACATCTGGGTGATGGTCAGGGAGAAACAGAAAAAATCCCCCTTTTCCTTTATAGGAGCGGAAGAAAAGTTGAGACTCTAGTTAGGAAAAAGTTCAGACTGAGGGCATACTCACACTAGGAACTTTTTACTTCTTTCAGGACGGAATTGTCGCCAGATGCATCCAAATGCGGTCTTAAATGCGGTCAGATACATTTAAGATAATGCTACTGTGAGTACGCCCTGATTGTCTCAAGTCTTTCCTGATTGTGTGGAGTGTGTGCTGTCGATCTGCTGCCCAGTGCCTCCACTTAATGTGTACATGTCATTTCCTGATTCAATGTTCATAACCAAATTCGAGAAGAAAGAAACAAAATAGGGGGGAAATCAAGGATCACCCCCATGGTCCTGATATGCGGACATCTGGATCCCATCTGGACCATCTGAACATGGTTGCCCAGATGGGTTCGGCGTTGACATCCAGAGTAGCAATGAAAAAAAAAAAGAAAAAAAATAGGTGAATTTTGAATATTCCATGTGTCTAAAGAACTTCCTCCTCCAGTCCCCTTCCCATTGGGCCCGACATTTCGTCAACATTCAAGACAACTTGACAGATCAGTAATAACCTTATTTTTCAGAAGAGAGAGAGAGAGAGAGAGAGAGAGAGAGAGAGAGAGAGAGAGAGAGAGAGAGAGAGAGAGAGAGAGAGAGAGAGAGAGAGA